GACTGGGACATGAGTGGTATTTGGCCAGCTTGTTTTTCTGCAGGCATTGTTCCTACATTCATTTTTATTTTCAAAGAATACAAACCACTGACTTGGGAAAACTCGGTTGAATGCACCACCAGGACTGGATCGTGGTTCCTGTTCTTTATTTTTCAAATGGGCTGAGAGAAGCAAAAAGAGGTCAACTGAATTCCTCAAGGTCAGAGACCATCACTGAGTCATAAAGAAATGACTGTTTGCCTCACAGCCCTGCATTCATTCTGCAAGGCTGTGCACTGTTAGTAGGATTTTTCTTTGCCTACCATAGTGATTTCTGGGAGCTCTGACCATGCTGCTGCCCTTCTGTCTGGTAACATTTATCAGACGGACATAGGGCAAAATGAAGGGCTCTCAGCTGGGTTGTGCAAATGAGGGGTGAGTCTCTTTCAGGTGAAACTCCTGGGGCTAGCCATGTGGCCCAGCTCATAGCTTTGTGAAGGAAATGTGAGCAGTACTACTGATGGCTAGCAGTGAAAAGGCCAGCAATTTACATAAATCACAGGAATTTACAAACCAGCAGGTTTTGGAATCCTGTGTGATGGGCTTAAATAGCTTAGTTTTGGGGGTGTCACATAGCTTCGCAAGCAGAAACTTGAGAAAATACACCAAATATTTTGGGGCTTTGATTAAAGGCAAGAATGAGCTGCTCTGCCCTGCAATATGGGAACTGCCTGTTGAAGGTGCTCTACGTGAATCTGTGACTTTACATTCTGCAAAGCAATAAGTGCACTGACAACAGTTTACTGTTGGCCCACATAAAATACAAACCAACCCCGATTGTACTCTTTGTGGGCACAACCTTCACCCATCCAATTCTCCCAAATCCCCTCAGGGTGTATATTTCTCACCCGCTTACTTGGCTAAGTGGCTAAGTGCATTATAACCATAGCTAATGTGTTCTTCTGTCTGGCTCTAAGTAAGCAATTAGGTGTGCACATCTATATTTACCATGCAAAACATCCCTGACAGGTGAATGTGTGCTGGGCCGCGTGGAAACAACAGCGCAAAACCAAAGTGGGCTTCCTAACTGCTGAGCTTGGAGAGCGAGCGGAGGTGCTGAAGAAACTAGATAATAAGGACATTCAGATGACAGCTGCTAATGCTATCGGGTACAAATCAGAGCTAAGTGAAAAACTGCCTTCTCTAGAATTAACATGCATGGCTGTTATGCTCTCTGCACTATGCAATGCAGATTTATTTATTTTAAAAACAGCTCGAGGCACCCAGTCAGTGCTCAGAAGCAAAACGCCCTGCGTCTCCTCTCTTCCCCACATCCAATAACCCCAACTGCTGCTCCAACAGGCACTGGAGCTCACTGTGCAGCGGATCCGCTGGCTCCTGCTGCACCACTCCCTTACAGAATACAGCCCCGCTGCTGCACCTCATGAGGTTTCTATTAGGAAGGTGTACTAACTGTTGTGACAGTTCTGGAGGAGCTCCCTCCCACCCCTCTCCTTCTCTTCAGACACTGATTCACAGATCCCCCTGCTAAGTGGGAGCTCAGGGGCTGTGCTGGGAGGAGCAGCACTGCATTTTGTTCAGCTGCACGCTCTCCTCTCCAACAAGAGCACTTCCTTCAGGCAGCGCAGCACACCCTGCTCAGCGTTTCCAGGACAAATTCTCTCTCTCTGCTCTCTGCTGTCCATCTACCGAAAACAAATAATGCTGTGAGCAAAAGGGCACCTTGACCTGCTGCCATGTTACCCCAGGGAAAACACTGCCTGCACCTCCAGGGTTAACTGTTGTCATCTCTTCTTGTGTTCACACCAGTTAAATTTAGGTGAAATCTGTTCTAAATCTCGGCTAAAGATGGAGCAGGTTTCTCACGTCAGAATGCTACCACTGACAGAATCAAATACAATCAGCACTGAAAAAAATTCCCTGCAGAAACCAGAAACAGCAAATAAATGGACAACGACCATCCTGCAGGAGGACCCCGCAGGCACTGTGCACACCTCCAGCGAGCAGAACTTGTGCGTGCAGCAAAGTGCCGCTGGGGTAAGCCCAGCCCTTCTGCCGTGTCCCCGCTGTGCCTCGGCACTGACAGCAGGCAGAGGTGTTCCTGGGAGTACATCTGCAAACCCACAAACACTCCATGCGGAATTGTTCGTAGTACGATGGGCTCTGGATAACTAACTCCACTCATCTCAACAAGCCCTGCCACATACAATGGGTTTTAATAAGCCGGTGAACAGAAATTCTGTGAGGCAAAATTACAGCTGTGCAATTACGCTATCACTCTGGAATCTCACCTGCCTCTCCCTCCTCGCGATTTCAACAGGCTTTTGAAGGAAGAATATCTGGAAATGTGATAAATGGGGGCTAAATTGTGCCCCCCTGCTACATTCCAAAATGCACACTGAGCATAACAGATTGGCATGGATTAGACAGGAGAAGGTTCTGGCTTGATGTTTCAAACCTGGTTTGCTTTATTCTGCCTCTTTTTTTAGCCCTGGACAACAGGAACCAAAGCTCGCCAAGTGTCTAGAAAGCCAGGAGCCAGGCGGCGGTGACAGCTGACACACCAGTGTCCTGATTTCGCCATTTTTTCCCCAAGGATATAAAGGGTAGTGAGTGACCCTTCATCCTTCTGAAAACAGCACAGCTTTATCAGTTTTGTCATTTTGCGCACCTCACCTAGGTTACAAACCTTCCCTACCCTCTATGTATGTAGCTACAAGTTTTTGTTTTAGGGATGCTTTCGGGCTTGGAAAGAAAGCATCCATGTGTTTCCTGGGAGCAGAAACGGGTGCAGCTCCTCAGCGGGGACTTCAGAACCAGAGCTCAAAGTGCGCCGATCCCCGGCCCTCCCCTCCATCTTCCCGCAGCACCTCTTCCGAGCAGATGGGAGGGATGAGCCCACGTCTGCTGGCCGCAGCTGCGACTGGCGCCTAGCGAAAAGCCAGCGCTATATTTGCTTTCAACTTTTATAGCTAAGGGGCCAGAAAACGCCTTTGGTACCCAGCGCTATTCGGAGCTACTGCAGCAGCACCCGATGCCTTCCCCTGCTTTGCCTCGGTCGCGGTGAGGGAGGCTCCCCGCCGTGCCGCCGCTTACAGGACCGGCTTTGCGCTGCGGCGGGGGGACCGGACCGGAGGACGCCCGCGGCTGCGGGGCAGCGGCGCACCGCCTCGGCTCGGTTCCGCGCTCCGGGCGCCACTCTCCCAGCGCCGGGGCCTGCGGCAGCCCAGGGAGGGCCGGGGGGGCCGTGAGCAGCGCCCAGCTGCCGAACTCGCGCTGAAAGCGCGGCGGGGCCGGGGCACGACGCGGGGGAAGGGACGCGCGGCCGGGGGTCCCGGTGCCCCGCTCCCCGCTGACCTGCCAGGCTGTTGTAGCAGTCGATCTCGATGGCCTCCACCGCCTGCCGCTGCTCCTCGCTCAGCCCGCCCGCGGCGGCGTTGGCAGGGCGCTGCCCGCCCGGCTCCTGGCTCAGCAGCAGCGCCTTGAGCTCCAGCAGGGCGCGGTGGTACTTGCCGATGGCCTCCCGGAATTTCTTGTCCTTGTAGCACTGCGCCCCTTCGCTCTTGAAATCCAGCGCCCGCCCGATCAGCTCGCCCGGCTCCGCGCCGCCCGCCGCCGCCGCCCGCGGCTGGCTGCCCCCCGCGGGGCCGTGCCCATCGCCCGCCCCGCGGCCGCCGGCGTTCAGCTTCCCCGCCGCCGGGCTCGCCCTCTCCATG